CCCCCCTCCACACAGCCTGCTCCTGGGTCAGGCAGCTGTCTCTCCCTGGACAGCATTCCTGATTGATTTCTGTAGTATCTGGAGTGTGTGAAGGACTTAACAGACAAGTAGGAAACTGGCCAAACAACATGTGGACGAAGGAGAACAAAATGACTGAGTGGTGAGGCAGGGCCAGCATCCCGTCAGCATCACACCGTTGGCTTCCTTGCATTAGTCAGGGAGGATCTGAGGGGAAGACAAGCATGCACTGACCTGAGAGAAGAGACTGGCTCAAGGAGGGCATGGGAGTAGCAACAGGTGTCAGAGGACTGGTGTGTTAGACTGTGAGGGAAACAAGCTCAGAGGCAGTAATCTGCTTTTCACTGCCTGTGGCCGGAGCTGTGGGTGTGCAGCGCTACAGGAACTTAGGAACTTTGGTGATAGGATCAGCAAGGTCATCCAGGGTCTACGAGTCCAGCCCCTCCTGTCACAAGCATACATCATAAGCTCCCGTTCATATATGGATCCACGTCTGTCTCAGAAGTAGTTAGGTTGTTTGTGTCCACCATTCCCACTGAACGGCTGTTCCTGCACCTCACTGCTCTCACAGTTAGGAGTCTTCTTCTGATTTCCACCTTAGGGTCATTCGTGGCCAGTTTACCATAGAGTCATAGAAAAGTAGGGCTGGAAAGGACCTCCGTAGGTCATCTAATCCAACCCCCTGCCTGAGGCAAGATCTTCCCTATCCAAACCATTATACGTATACAAATTCATTGTTCAACTTCTTAGCAAAACTACAGTCAACCCTGACACCACACAGGACAACACCCTAACCCACCACAAGTAAAGCAGGGGGACCACAGAGGCTAATGCCCTGCTGCTGTAAAAGTTGTTAATATAAGCTCAAGAGTTCACAGGATGCCTATTCATGGGCTAGCATTTTCCTTTATCTTAAATAGCTTATCTCCCCTAAGTGTCCTCCCCTCCCCCTCCAGTGTATTTACAGACAGACCTCAGATCCCACCTCAGCCTTCCTTTTGCAAAACTAAACTTATTTAATAAACTCTTGTAGGTGCAGGCTGTCCAGTCCCCTTATCTTCCTAGTAGCTTTTTCTGTACCTGTTCCAATCTGGGTTCATCTTTCTGGAACATGGGTTACCAGTGCTATATACAGTACCTAGAGGAGGCAACCCCAGCTCCCTGCACAACAGCATTAACATGCTCTGTACTGGAAGTACCTCACCTGATACATCCTATCATTATAAATGCCTTTTCTGTGGTCATAAGGGTGGCTCATAGTCATTATGTGATCAGGCAATTCTCCCAGGTAATTTGCCCTCTGCATTGTTAGGTCAAGGTGTTTCCAGTTGTTTGCCCAAGTTCAGATGCCTCCAAACTCAGAAGCTACTTTTGCAAATATGTTCTTCCATGGTTTTTAATGCATTGTCCTTATGAGTGGCTCCTGAGGCTTCCTGAAGCAAGAGCACTTGGTGGAATTAGAGGACAGGGCTATATGTGCCAACCCATCATGCCAAAGGGGCAGAGGGGGGTACAAGCTTGGTAAACTTGCAGATTGCACATTCTGCATGACATGTTCTTTCTGGTTTAGGGAAAGAGATTGGCTCTTTGAGCCAGTCTGACCAGCATACACATCCTCAGTGATGAGGTCATGCAGTGACATTGTAAATTCATCGCATCTGCCATTGCTTGGACCAACACTATGCTCTGCTCACATACTGAGAGGCATCCTGACCCTTTTTACACCACTCTAATGAGAGGAGGTGCCTGCTGAGGGGAAGGAGCTGCATGTGCTCTTTGTCCCACATGCCCACTGTCTGGCAGGGAACACGTCTGTGCTAATTAACGAGTCTAGCCTGGCTACTTTTGCTGGATCACTGCCTCCGTAATGGACGTTCTACACTTCCAGCAAACTAAGCCATAAGCAGGAGTGAGCCCTGCTCCCATCACCCTCCCACCTCCTGGTCCCCTGATGGCAAGCAAGCCCTCTCCATACTGAAGCACAGTGCAAGGCATTTATTTAAGTGGGCCTGTGACCTTGTGATCAGGCACTGAAATGTCCTGCAGAAATCATATCAAGAGATGGGCAGTGTAATCAGAGCTCGCTGGGCAAATCCACTCTGCTCTTGGTAGTTGTGGTGTAAATGTCTCCTGGATCTACTGAAGTCAGTGGAATAAAGTTTACACTACAGTCACCAAGAGCTAAATTTAACTGAGAGCGCAGGGATTCATTCATCCTCCCCACATATCCATGCCCCTTCTCGGGGAGTACTTCCTACCTTGCTCCACTTCTGCCTGTCCTCCCCCTTTCAAGATTTGTGACAATGAATTGGGAATCATCCCATTCCCAGGAGAAGTAGAGGGTATGGAACAGACAAGAAATGCTTTCACAAGGACTTGAGCACAAATTTGCAGCCTTTTCTGGCCTGTGTGAGCAGCTGGTAGGAAAAAGCTAGGAACTGTTAGAGACAGTGTCTGGTTAAAGATCACAGGCCTGACCCTGGTCCATTCTCTGATTTGGCTGGTAGCAAGGGCAGGGGAAACTGTTCCAAAGGTGCAGCCAGGAATTACCCTGAAGATAGAGGCACATCTACCCCCACAATGCATAAAGTGCTGCAAGAGCTGGGTCACCCTGTGCTCTGGGGGACCTGGTCTGGTAGACCTGGTCTGAGGGGGCCTGTATTGCCTCCCTAGAGTCTGTTTCAGCTTATGCCAGAGGCCACTTCATCTGTTTGCCCACACACATCCTTAGGTTGCAGAGTGCCGCTCCTGCCACCTGGGGAACTGACCCAACCTATTGGTGATGCTCATTTTCCATTTCATTACTATATGGTCCCTGGTAGGCAGGAAAGAACAGCTACCCCCATTCTCCTGGTGGGGAGATGAGATGCTTCACACAGGGGGTCTGGGGCCTTGATCTTAGGCTTGGTAAAGGCTAGATTAACCCCCCTAACCATCACCTTCTCTGAAACCTCTCATTTAACAGCTCTTCTGATTAAATCTGAGAGACCACTCAGTGTCTGGGATTTACACATCCGCACACACAGGTGCTTTCACATTTGCAATATGCCTTTTTGGTGCGCATTAGGGACCTGGTAGCTGGGTAACTAAGCTTCATTGAGATTTATCCTCATTTTCACTTGTGGGTCCTCATTCATTAATCTAATGCCATAGCAAAGACTAGGTGTTATCTAGCACTTTTTATCCACAGATCTTTAAGTAAGTGTTTTACAAAATAATTTGGTATCATTCCCAATATATCAATACTTTAGTATCCATGTCTGGGCTGTAAATACTTCAAGGGCTATGTTCATTTTTAAGGAAGCTGTTTTTTCCTGATCATTTTTAAAAATAGAAAAGAAAATCTAATTATCTTCATTTGTAAGCCTTCAGGGTTTTTTTAATAAACCTAAATTTTGGACCTAAATGTTCTATGTTTTAGCACCCCATTAAATGAGACTGCTGTGGGCTGAGGGCACTGTGATAAGCAAGACATGATTCCAGGCTCTTTGGAAATTTTCTAGGAGAGTGATTATAGTATTTGATTTATTGTCCCTTTATTCTCCTGTTCATTTTCCATCACATGTATCATAGCAGAGGCAAAAGAATCATATTTGTCTCTGGAGGGACAATGGAACTTTTGCAGGGAGCTGTGCTGGCAATGCAGCAGGGCTGACTGCTGCATCAGTTCACTTGCAAAAACAGTAGCCAACATTTTCAAACCCAGTTGCCTCGAGTCAGGTTCATAAATCCATATTTAGTCTCCTAAATGGAAGTGACCTGGTTTTTAAAAGTGCTGAGCAACTGCAGCTGTTGTTGAAATCATTAAGAGCTGCTGTGCTCAGCATCCCTGAAAATCTGGCTATTTAGGACTCTAAATATGGATTTAGGAGCCTGACTTGAAGCACCTGGATGTGCCAATGTTGTATTCATCTCCTGGTTACAGGTCCTAGGCCCAGGTGCCTGGAAGTCACACTAGCTGAAGGCTGCTTAATGTCCTGCATTCAGTGAAACTGTGGTCTAACTTCAGCTCTCACATCTGATTTTAAGCCCGGGGAAGTCAATATAAAGACATCAGTTGGGGGAATCTTTGGGCAGACACCCTCACAAATGAGTATCCATGATACACACAGATGCATCCATCATGATGAACGCTAATTGTCCCCTCTCCATGCTGGCAATCTTAGCAGAGAAGACAAGGTGCTAGTGAGCTTTAGAGACAGAGCTACCAAGAGGGGATGCTCCAGGACTGGCATTGTCTAGCTGAACTTTCCAGAGATCGTCTAGCCATTCCCCTGGGATTTCCAAGGAAAATTGAGAGGGTCCCTTCCTACCCTGCTGTATCTACTGCAGTTATTCTTAGGCCATTCGTGCAGGGCACTGTAGTGCTGTTTGACAAGGCTCTTACTCTATTCTTGAATAAGGGAGTTCTGCAACATCTCCCCCTCCCTTCACACTCACGCTCTGATGTTCTGCTGTATCCCCTGTCCAAGGAGAAAAGTGGAAATCTCAGCAAACTCTGCAGTAATATTCCCTGAGTCTCAGAGGAGACGGTTCCTGTTTATATCTACAGTGGATTTTATTTTCTCTCTTCTCTCTCCCTCTCTTGCCCATGTGTCTTTTATTTATTTATTTATTTGGTGCAAACCCTTCAGCAGGATTTATGTAATTACAGACAGTCTATTGGCACTTAAGCTGATATGGATCCATCACAGCCACTTCAGGTACAGCAGTAGGCGAAATAATTTTTAGCACAACAAGTACAGTGAGCTGATAAGTGCCCCATGGAGAAGTCCCATAAGTTATGAGTGCTGAGTGGTGTCAGGAGTTTTGATTTATAACCCACTAGGAGCTTGTCTCAGGGAAGGCAAGGCTGTCGTTATACGCCTGTCTCCTCTGTTGAGCCAGCTGCCTGCTAGTTGGGCATTGTTGTGTTTCTGCAGCAGCTCCCCCTACACTCGCACTTTGTGACCTCTGCCTTTTCTGTTTCTCTTGCTCCCTAGTTTAATGAGAAGGCAAAGCCTGTGTCTTGTTTCAAGCACCTGGTCCAGGCCAACATCCGCAATAAGAAGGTCTTTAAGGAGGACGTGCAGGTGATGACGGCCAAGGGGACAACTGACTACAAGGCTGGCTTTGAGTATGCCTTTGACCAGCTGCAAAATGTAAGCCTGGAACTAAGACCCAGGGGGTTCAAAGGAGGGCCTTGAGATGGGGCCTCTGGAGGGGTGGGAGGTTAGGAATCAGACTTGGGGGCACTAGGACCCTGAACCAGGGGATCCAAAGGGAGACAATGACCTGGGGACATCTGGGAGGGAGTACTGGGACCCAAACCCAGAGAGTGCAAAGGAACAGCTGTGCCCGGACAAAGTCCCTGGCAGTTACATGACTAAGACTCTGGTAAGACGCTGCTCCACTCATTGCAAAGAAAAGAATGGCATTCTCCTTTCAGCAGTAGCTCTGCCAACCCTTCCATGGTGAGTTTGGGGTGGGAGCTCTAAGATCCTGACCTGAGGCTCCCAGGTGATACTGGGACTCTACCAGGTGGCTCTGAACCTTCATCTTTCCAACAATTCAGGGGTTTTGAACATTGAGGAGAGAGGCTTGGGGTTTGATCAGCCCTTCTGCCATCAGGTCTCCTTCTCCACATGGGGAATTCAACCTAGCTGAGACCATCCTTGAATCTCCCTGCAGCAGGTGAACATACTCAGGCCTCCTGTCCCCCATTTTCCATCTTGTAGAAAGATAACTTGATCATCATTGGTGCCCCTCAGGGTGATGTTGGATGGTCACCTCCATCAATCAGTCATTGTCTGGGCTGCCGGCCCTTTGTTTAAATGCATGTGGAATTGGATTCCAGGTCCTGTGCTTTCACTAGGAGCCTCTCCTGTGGCCTGAATCAGACCCAACTGGCACTGGTATTATTCTCTTTATACCGTAAAGGGTCTGGGGGCACAGGTGGTGTTCTCGTCAATCCTCCCAGTCTCGGGCTATGGGCTGAGGAGGAAGAGGAGGATCCACGTAGTCAACCAAAGACTGCGGCGCTGGTGTCATCAGGAAGGCTTTGGCTTCCATGACCACAGCCCGCTCTTCGGCAAGAGAGGCAGCAAGCTGCTGGGAAGAGATGGCCTCCACCTCTCTCCCCTGGGGAGGAGGCTCTTCTCAGCCAGACTGGCTAACCTGCTCCACCAGGCTTTAAACTAAGCCTGTTGGGGGATGGGGGGACTACCGCCACTGCTGGCCCGCTGAGCAACCCTTGCAAAGCCAGCAGGCCAAGGCACTTAAGGGAGCCCACTCTTGCCCCAGCCCTGGTACAATCTGTGGGCAAGGCAAGAGCCCCCAAGGGGACACTTGCCTGCCTGTACACAAATGCCAGGAGCTTGGGGAATAAGCAGGAGGAGCTCATCCTCCTGCTCAATGCAAATAATTATTATGTCATAGGGATAATGGAGACCTGGTGGGACTTCACCCATGACTGGACCTCGGGTATAGATGGGTATACCCTGTACAGTAGGGATCGTGTAGATAAAAGGGGCGGGGGTGTAGCTCTCTATGTTAAGGAAAGCTACATATCCCTGCAAGCTGATATTGGCAACCAGTGTGGACAACTGGAGACCCTCTGGGTTAAAATCCATGGGGAACATGGCACAGGGGAAACAATGGTGGGAGTCTACTACAGACTTCCCACCCAAAGTCCTGAGCTTAACCAGGAGTTCTCCTAGGAACTGGCTGAGGCCGCATACTCCAGGACCATGGTCGTCATAGGTGACTTCAATTACCCGGACATCTCGTGGGAGGTCACTCAGCAAAATCCGAGTGATTGCAAAGCTTCCTTTCGTGCATGCATGACCTCTACCTGACTCTAGAAGTCTATGGGCCAGCAAGAGGCAAAGCACTGCTTGACCTGGTGCTGGCTTCCGGGGGTGACCTAATCGGCGACCTAGCGATTGATGGGAAGCTGGGTGACAGCGACCATGAGTTGATCACCTTCACCACCTGCCGTAAAGCTGGCAAGTCAGTCAGCAACATGGAAGTCCTTGACTTCAGAAAAGCCGACTTTGACAAGCTCAGGAGGCTTGTCAGTCAGGCCCTAAGGACCCACGACCCCAGGGAGAGGGGAGTTCAAGAAGAGTGGTTGCTCCTCAAGGGAGCGATCCTCAATGCACAAGCTAAGTCTATTCCGTCTCAGAGGAAAGGCAGCAAGAGGGCACAGCAACCCCCCTGGCTCTCCAGGGACCTAGCAGACCTCTTGAGGATAAAAAGAAAGGCCTACAAAGGATGGAGGATGGGATTCACCTCCAAGGAGGATTATTCTGCACTGGTCCGGTCCTGCAGGGAGCAAACCAGGAAAGCCAAGGCTGCAACTGAACTCCAACTAGCTTCGAGCATCAAGGACAATAAAAAGTCCTTTTTCAGATATGTGGGGAGCCAGAGGAAAAGCAAGGGCAACATTGGACCCCTGCTAAACCAGATGGGGCAACTGACAACTGACACCCAGGAAAAAGCCAACCTATTAAATGGGTACTTTGCATC